TAAAATAGTTAATAAAAATAAAATGTTAAAAATAAATAGAACCATTTTATCTCTAAAAAAAAGAAGTATATTACGGCGCGATATTAATTTCGTATGACTAGAGAATTGTGGCATTGAGAGGTGATAATTATCAGACAAGTAAGTTACGCACTTCTCCCTAGTAAACGAAAAGATTATTTTGTTTTTTTCTTTTATTATTCTAAGGAAGGAGACTATGCTAGCCTTTATATTCAACTCATTTTCTATTGAAATATCCTAATTGTCACTGGACAAACTTTTGACATATGCTGCATTTCTAGCATAATAAAGCTCATTGAATTAAGGGATTAGATCTGTTAAAAAATCAGCATAAAAAAATGTATCTTTTTGCTGTTGAAAGAAATAATCTTAGTCCTTTAATTTATGAACTAAATTATTTTAATTCATAAATTTATTCAAACAATATTTATATAACTCCAACCATGACAATAATTTAAAGCAATTTAGACAAAAAAAGCTTCAAAATGTTTTAAACTCAGAAAACAATATAATATTTTCATTATAAATAATGTATATCAATTCAATTCATGACGAGTTTTAAAGATACCTTCTAAAAATTAAAAAGATTACATTTAGAAAAATTCGTAGAAACATTACATCATATATCGACTACTTCTTTAAAAAAAAATGTCGAAATTTCTACTTGCAATACTATATTGGATCTAACCCTTTAAATCAATTTGTACTTTTTTATATATAGAGTCTTGCTCATTACGTCAAAATATAAAATATAATAATATTAAGTGTGAATATTTTACATATAAAATGTAAGCTTTTAAATAGGCCTTTGATATTAAGAATAGGCATTATTAAATCGTTGGCCACATACAGAGAAAGAAGAGAGAGAGAAAAAGAGAGAAAGAAGCTCTCTCTGCATTCTGTGTAAAATATTTAGAAGACATAGTAACTTCTATGTAACACCGAGAATATTCAAACGATTTTACTCTCGGATATTGCGACTACTTATTTATTGTAAAATAAATCATGGATTCGTTATATAATAAAACAGATAAAAATCACTTTATTCCTCTAAAAATGATGATTATTGCGCGAATCGAATGCTATTTAAATGAAATTTCTAGTGTTAGGATTCTCTGTTTTTCCTTAAAGAGGAATCCTGATGCAACAGAAGAGGTATTCTTTCTTGTCTAACCTCGGGAAGTGTTGCTAGCTCTTGAACGGGACTTCGCTGCCATATACTTCTCGTTGCCATTTCTTGATAACCCCTTCTTCTTACCTAGAAATCAAACGTTTCTATTTTTTTATATATCTTGTCAAAGTTGCTTGCAATATTCTTTGTTACGTTGTACTCGCAATGTTTATTGCATCATGAAAATTGATCAAAATACTTACTTGTCTATGATGAAGCTCATGCAGGTACAATGTAGACAAAGACATATCGGCAGCGGTTAATTCTGTAGGTACATACGGATCTGTATGTGTTTCCATAACATAACTGTGGCCCGATCCGAATACAGAAGCACCTAGCGACTGATTTGATATACCTTGTTGTAAATCATACAAGAATCCTCTATCATTGTGCAATGGACCTTCCGTTCTGGACACACCTCGACGTAAAACGGCAGATCTTGTGGCAAATGACTGATCGACGCCGATTGATGTGGCTGATGTACCCGGCTGATTTGTGAAAATGTTACTCATGCTAGGTACACTCACTTGATTCATCGTACTTCGAATAATATTCGACACATGATCTCTATACTGTAACAATATATTAATATATTAATGATACATGAAGCAAACAACTTTATAAGTAAAATTATTTAGTAAGAGAAATATCGAGCACTTACGCCAAGACCGGACAGACTGTTCAAACTAGCTATCAGGGGATTATTATAAGGATCAGGATCGGCAGTTACTTCCTTTTTAGCCCTTTCTCTCAAAGCAGTTACGAAATTTTCCGCATGGGACGGCGGCTTCCATTCGGGATTCGTCAGAGTGAAATGTATGAGGGACAATTCGGTCTTGCCGTCTTCGGCTTGGGTATAATGATTTGACATCGGTACGTGGTATTTGTCTGGATCGATGCCGTACTGATTGTCGTAGCCTGCACTATGATGCAGTCTCTCCTCTGGCAGCGGAGAAACCGTGGGACTATGCGCTACAGTCTGCCACATGGGATTGCCGTGTCTACGTACGTCCATCTGAGCGAAGCTACACACATCACCGACTCCAGCCACTTCAATCGTGAAGTTACGAAAAAAGTCTACAATCTCTAAAGCTCGGTGTCGCATACGGAAGCACAAAATGTATGTTGTCACGAATGGTGAAACCAATTCTTCCAACAGATGCACCGCGCGATATTGGAATAACTGTGCTACCTGGGCTCTGGTAGTATGCGTATGAGCAGTCCCTCGCCAACTATCCGGTCTGTAATGCGTGTGGGCCAGCACAGCAGTTAAAAGAGTTTCAGGACACCAAACTAGATTCTCATCGGGTACAATTGCCTTCGCGCATGCTGCCACTCCTCCTAACATGGTCATGTAGGCAACCACACGTTCCATCGAGAATGTTGGCTCATAGATCAATGTTATAACCAGTAATACTGCCAATACGCTACCGGTGATAAACGCTATGTGCTTTGCGACTATTGTCATTATCGGAGACGTGAAGCTGCTCATATATTTTGAAGCAGGACGGTACGCGCGACTGAGACGCGCATTCATTTCGTGATCGAGTTCGTTGAAATGTCGCAGGTACAATCGACCGTATAGGGACCACGTCCGCATCGCCAGAACACTTGGCTCTCGTTTAATAGTCTGTCGATAATATTATTGTCATATGTTAGTATTGATTATCGTGTTAAACAGATTATTGGTCGCGTTTAGCAGAATGTTTATTTTGCAACTGTTGGAAGTTTTTTGCTGAGATGGGACTATCCTTCTAGATCAAAGTATAATTCAACTGTCACGAAGAAAACTTTCAATAGTTACAAAATAAACGTTCTATTGAACGCGGACATTGATTGCTATAAATCAGCATAATTACTCACTTCAGCATAATTGAAAAACGTATAAAGAACCTGCCATAGAAGAATAAGGAAACACAGGACGAAATTTGCGATACCGACCCACAAAATATGTTTAGACAATGATCGTGCGAGTTCTTGTCTTTTGTTTAATTTTTTATAATCTTCCTTTAGATGCCAATTATTTTCGAATGGTGACCATGGTCCCCCTAGAATAGCGACATAAATTAATTATTTCTAATAAAGTTATATCATATACATATTATGCAATTATACTTACAAAATAGTAATAATTCTATATTATATTTCAAACCCCGTGTCAAAAAAATGACTTCCCCTATAATGGGGACTTTGAGTCGCACAGGTAAGAGTGATTTGTTGATCATAGCTACCATGTAATTTTTATGTCTTAATATCCTATGGTATATATCTAATTCCGTAAGTTCTCTTTTGTGAATGCACATTTCTTGCTCCTTCTGCACTTCTATCACACGTTTCTGAACTTCGTGCCACGTAAAATTGTCTAGCTCACTGTCGGCGATTTTGAGCGCTGTATTGAAGAACATTTTAATCTCCCAGAACTGCGTTAGGTGATACAAAACTTTGAGGAATTGAAGGATAAAGAAAATTGTCGCGACTACGAGAAGACTCCAATAAAATGAAGAGATTGACTTTATACAATCTCCCATGCACATTATCGCATCGCTTTTGTGGCTAGTATCGTTTCCACCACCACTAAAAATATAGAGCATTGATTAAATATCTCTTAAAATGATGTGCGTATCGCATAATAATTTGCCTCAAACTTGACTTATATACCTATATAATTTGCTGTAATCGATGCAGTGAAAGAGGTAGGTAACGAATGTGACTACAAAAAAGAATTGCAGTAATTCCAAAACTTCTTGGAGCATCATACAGACGAAGCCATGCTGCTGATGATAGTGATACATTCGCGTGAAGAATGAATCTAGGTCTTCGATGTGATTCCATCGTGCTTTGTTACCCTCTGGTACCACATGGATGATGACACCTGATTCTTGAGGCGCTTCCTCACGATCGTCTTCATCGTCCGCGTCTTC